TGGGCATTCTTCTTTCCTTTTCTGAAAGTGCACAAAACTTAGGTCTGATTCAGTTCAAGAATGACTGTGTTTCTAAGTTTTTCCCTATTTTTCCTGTGACATTTTTGAACTATAAAACCACATTATAGATTTTTAACATGTAAACCTATGACAAAATTGAACTCGCCCAACAGACTTTTCGCCCAAAGGACTAATCCGTTGCACCAATTAAGTCTGTTAGGCGGGGGGCCACTGTATTCCCATTTTTAGCTTCAATTGCATGAACCAATTCTCCAAGAAACTGTGTGAATATTGTGTGGGTTTACTTCTGTGGAAAAATATGTAAGTTGTGGATTCTTTTAGAGCAGGAATAAAAATTAATTTCTATGATCATCTGTTAAGAGGCTCCCAGCCAGTCCAAGGCTGGTTGTGGAAATTTCAAGCTCAAAATTTCTTTGTTTGGGGAAATCCCGAACCATGAATAAGCACATATTTGAACGGGGAGAATTTGAGGATGATGCCAAAATGCAGCAGAGACACATGCATATTTTCATGATTTTTCCAAGTCCAAAATGCAGCAGAGACACATGCATATTTTCATGATTTTTCCAAGTCAGTTGCTGGTGACCAAAACACAGTGGACAAGTTCTGAAACTGTTCCTAAACTTCATTTCAATTTAATCTTCTGGAAATGCATTTGTCTTCATTCCATATTTCCAAGACAAGCATTTAGAGTTTCGTGACGGATTCCATAGAAGAGAGAAAAACTATCGCCGGTGACTCAAAAAAAAAGAATGCGGCAGAATGAAAACCCTAGGCAAATTTTCTCGGGAAAATTCATGAGCACAAATCCGAAAGCTAACATCAATTCATCAGCAAAAATGATTGCAAATTAGCACCCACGAAAGGATTACCGATCTATAAACACGCAAGCTTGCAATCTCAAGAACAAGTAGAAAATTGCATATCTTTGCATCATTATAATCAATTGATTCCTGGTTCACCTATAATGATGAATCGATGTCCAGTTAGTATAAGAGCAAAGGCAGCAACACCCAAAAATCCATATTCCGTGAAATCATTACTGTTCGTAGATCATCATTTTAGTAAGGATTTCGTGGAATTTACCCCAACCCAATGTTGATGTTTCATTGCTGAAATTGCCAGGTTTGTTACCAGGAAATTTTCTTTACACAGAGAGCTGAAACCTCACTTTCTAATGCTGTTGATTTGACTGTCATTAGGGATATTTATGGAATTCCTAGCATATCATGCCTTGCATTCATGATCACATTTTCGATTTTTGGGAGGAATGTAAAAATTTGGTGCTTGCCTCATAATTGGTCTGATCACATAGTTCACCTGTCAATTCTCCCGAAATGGCGGAAACATTTCAAAGAGGAATACAGGCAATTTAAGTAAATGTTTGGCATTTTTCCGTCCATTAAATACCGATTAAATTCCAACCCTCAACATTTTACAAAAAGAAGCAGCCAGATGAACCTTTATATATAGCCACGACTTGCACTGCATAGCTCCGCATTGCATGTGCTACGATTTTGGCGAAGAGAGGTGACTGAAAAAAGGAATATCGTACCCAATACAATTAAGACGAACTATATATATGTTCAAAAAAAATTTTAGAGACCAGAAAAACGTGTAATTCAAAATTATTTGTGAATCCTAGGCATTAAACGAAGAACAATCGGTTTTTTATGAAGAAATGATCAGAATACGAAGTACAGTATGCATCTGGATAATCAATTTTATGCCTATCATAATTGTGAATGTCTATAAAATATAAGAATCCTTGCACATGAAAATGCCTTAGTTCATGGTGCATTTGGTGATAAAGTATCATATTTACTCAAGAAACCTCAAGTGAGATATGTACTAGAATTTTTCAAAAGAAAATTTTGATTAAATCTTAGCTTAATTTTTAATGACTTTAAAACCAAGATAGTTTATGGATAAGAACACCAAAATTCTGATTTAGCCAAAATTTTGACTAATGTCTACTTACTTCCAAATAAATAAGTTTTTTCTGTACAGTCAACTGACTCATCAACCCCAGTTTATGGACTGCCTGGCTTACAAATTTTTGGGTCATGGAACATAACCTGGCTTACATTCTGCAGTCTATAAGCTGTTTTNAAAGTGCACAAAACTTAGGTCTGATTCAGTTCAAGAATGACTGTGTTTCTAAGTTTTTCCCTATTTTTCCTGTGACATTTTTGAACTATAAAACCACATTATAGATTTTTAACATGTAAACCTATGACAAAATTGAACTCGCCCAACAGACTTTTCGCCCAAAGGACTAATCCGTTGCACCAATTAAGTCCGTTAGGCGGGGGGCCACTGTACTTGGGGATGAACAAAGAAAGATTGGAGAAGGAGATAAGATCTGCGACCCTTCCTTAATGGTGCCGCAGGTCAAACAATTTTTTTGGCGCGGGTGGTCAAAGTGGTGGGCAGTGGAATTATTTACCGTTGTGAGTTGGGCAATGTCAATGGATAAATACATGTGATTGATGATATTGACTCCCTTTTAAATCTGACAATGTGCGTGGGAAGAAATGCTTTCAATTTTTTTCCAGTCAGACTGATTTGTTTTTGGGAGAGAACTACGCAAGTGTTTTTGCAACAACAAAAGATGCATCAAATTTCCTGATGATTTATGGACTTGGCAAACCTCCTTCAAGTTGTGTTGGGACTTGGGAACCAGTGGAACTGGTAGTTTTCAGAATGGTTGACCCATTATGTGGTGGCAATAAGTAACTGGTCAGGTACCCATTTTGAATGCTGTAGCGCAAGTATTAATTCAGGCTCAGACATTGGCAGAAGCCCAGAGGCTGGGAATGCCCAGAAACTTAGAGGGGTGCTAGCTGGTGACAAGCCTCAGCTACGGGGATGCTGCAACAATTGTGAGTACAGTCTATGTTTCTCAGCCATGAGTACAGGTGGTACCTTGCAATTTGACCATAATCCGTAGCAAAACTTGGCTCAAATTGCAAGTCACTTCGGGAAATTTGAAACAATCAATGCAGAACCACAAAAAATGGCCAAAGCAGGTCAAATTGCGGGGCAAAGGTCATATTGGGATTCAACCTTCCTGCAGATTTGGCCATCAAATTGCAAGGTACCACCTGCACCATATTTACTGGTACAGTATGCATATTTCAAAAAGTTCTCAAAATTCAGGTGTGCATTATGTTTGAATCACATTGAAATATCATATCATCCCAATGTTAAAAGAATAAAAATTGGTATTGTTAAAAAATTGGTTGATTTCAGGTTCAATTCATGCTTAAGGTTATATTACAGCAGTCATTACTTCATCATACTTGAATTTTCTACTGTTTTCAGTACAATCTTGAAGAACCAAGATAATCAATTAACTTTTTAAAATTTCTACTCAAAGATTCTCTCCAAATTGTTCAATCACCTGAAACTTATCTGGGAGCAGGCTCAACACCATGTGCTTTAATTTGGGTTCCTTAATTGCCATATGCTGTAATTTTTATCACTGATATTTTCTTTTTGCTATTTGGGAGGGGAAGAAATTGTATGCATTCACATCGGTTATGCAATTTTTCATTTTGGGATGTACTGTACATTTGTTACCTTGAATATCCATATACAGCTTATTTCTCTATTCTCAATCCTGATGTGTTTGGATGAATGTGGGTGGGGCAGGGAGGGCTTTTGGATGTGGGAACCTTGCTTTAACCTTTTGGACATGGAAAAGCAGAAAATAAGGCTTGCTGCTGATCTGATCATTACAACAAGATTTTCCTTTTAAATTGGTACGGTATGGATTTTCCAATGAGAATCAAATATAATGTATCAAATATAATATAGAATTTTTAAAACTCTTTGAAAAAATGCTTTACCTGCCTATGACACACACCCCGTTTTTCCTCATTTTTCGATAAGAAAAATAAGGGCACCTGGTATTCCAACAAATACGGTACTCATATCATAGCTGAGAATCATTCACCTTTTGTATCTAGCATTGCGGCTGTGGGAGCAAGAAGAAATCAGGAGCAGTAAGTATCCGTCACTAGAAAGTTTCAGTTTACCTAGAAGTTGAAAAGTATTTGCTCAAAAGGTATCTCATACCTGGACAACCTGGTACTTTCCCTCATTTCCTACTCTTTTCCCCCCCAAAAAGCTTCCTGTGCTGCAGCTGTCAAAGAGCCCGAAATTCGCATTCCCCGAGCTGTTCGGGGCAAGACAAATGGCGGTCGTAAATTTCCAGTCATGTTTATTGTAAATGGTGGGGAACCTGAACCTGGCAGTGGACAACCGGGCACAATCACAGCGTCCAATGCAACAGGAAAAAAAAATTTGCAAAGCAGGAAGAGAAGAAAGGATTCAGGGAATGAATGTTCTGCATTGTTGCCCGGCTCGAGGGTTGAGCAAAAACCCTCACGGAATCTGTTGATCATGGCCGCAGGGGTATTCTTTTGGGGGGGATTGGGGGAAAATTCTCTGCTTGGTCCAATCATCAATGCAAACATCTCAGAAGCCCGGGGGGACGGGAAAGGGTTTCCTATACAGCGTACACGACTGAATAGATGGAAAAAACAAAACGCCGATCCATCTAATTGAATATAATTCCGAATCATGGGGATGCGCAATTAAATTTTTCGAAGCTTGAATGTAGAAACTATTGAAAGCAATACTTTATATTCGAAAATGTGGGTTTCATTCCTGAGAATCTTCAAGATTTCGCATTCGAGAAAATGCGTTCAAGAACAACGGTAAAAAAAAAAACCCTGCAAATAAAGCCCAGGCTCTAGCAACAGGAAACGATTGAAGAAAAAAAAATCGTATTAGCAATTCTTTTTCGTGGAAAACGAGGGTATATTCAACATCTCGCGAAACATAATCATAAGATAAGTGACCAATCGAATTTTCCCGATATTAGATAAGGATAAAAATTAGGATCGCTTCAACCAAAATCAATACGATTCTTCGAAGAAAAATGCCAAGACAGCATTCGGATAAATATTGACCGCTTAAAATAAGAAAAACGAAACGCAAGTCCACGAAATAAAAAATCAAAATCCCGTAATTTAAGCCCCCCAGAAGTGCAATGGTTTGAGGAACCGCTCAATGTTAGACCTGTCTCACTTTGAGAGAAAACAAATACCTCGCAAATCGGAACAAAACAACAACAAAAAATGATTCCGCATGATCCTGAAGCTCGAATACATAATTGCATACATAATGATACCCAAGAATTGACGACATGGACTAACGAAAAATGCGGACATGGACCAAATCAATAAAGAAAAAAAATGTTCAATTACGAACGACGAGGTCGGCGTGAATCCCAGCAGCTGGGAATGGTTTCAAATCAACCTGCTCCGAAACATGCGAGTCGCAGTCCTTGAAAACATGCGCGAAACCCGGCTGGAAATGATGGTGGTGGTGGTGGTGGTTGTGGCCATGGAAACCAACGATGGCGGCGGCGGCAGCAGCAGCGCCGCCGCCGCCGCCAATGCCAACCCCGCTGCGTTGCTGAGGATCCAGGCCACGCAATGCACTCATAACACCCGACGTAGGCGACGTAGATGGCGACAAGGCCAAGACGCCATTACCAGAAGCATTATTGCTGCTGCTGCTGCCGCCTCCACCTCCTCCAGCACCGGCGCCGCCGCCGATGGGCGACGCGCAGGCGTCGAGCTCACCAGAACTCGATTCAGGCGCCGCAACTGAAGTGATGGAGGACGACGTGAGCTTGGCTTCTTTCTTGGCTTTCATGCGTCGGTTTTGGAACCAGATTTTGATCTGGCGTTCCGTGAGCCCCAGGGCTTGGGCGATTTCAATGCGACGTTTCCGGGTTAGGTATTTGTTGTAGTGGAACTCTTTCTCGAGTTCCAGGGTCTGGTATCGGGTGTAGGTCTGACGCGTGCGTTTCGGTCCACCGGCTTGTTCAACTATTTTAGGAAATTTGTTTCAAGTGGAGACAAACAAAGAAGATTTTTCGTTGAAAATTTGCAACCGGAACGGATTTTCAAGCGATTCAATGCCTCGAGGATTTTGTAATGCTTTTCAATTGGATTCAACTTCTATTTGGGATTGTGATGAATCCATTCGTTCATTTCATTCACACGCACAATTTCAGCTTCTGCTCAATCATCGAGAGTAGTGATGCGAATAAAATACTGTACTGTATTTGATAAGCAAGGTTTAAAAAAAAAGAAATAATTAGCACTTGCAGATTTGTCTCAAATATAGAACAGTATTCGGATTTCAATTGTGCGCAGAAACTTTTACACTGTACATAATATCACGGCTTTGAATACTCAGTAAACGGATTATATGCAAAATTCAGTGCGCAGATACGTTACAAATTTGTCCTAGATCCAATTCACGACCATAATTGACACCAATTTACGTGAGAACATCCATCGTAAAGCCAAATTCAGCGGATTCAATGGAAAATCAGCAGATCTCTCGCAATATTTCAAGAAAGTTAAACGTTGACTTGTGCTTCGTCATCTCAATGTCGTTCAAAATGTTCGTCAAGTACGTCAATCATTATGATAATCAAGCGAAGTCCTTGTGAAAAAGGGGTGTTAACTGACTGGATGGCAGAGAATATTGATTTTGGGACTACCAATTCTTCGATGATGAAATTTGCGTAGAAGTCGTTGCACATTACTCCAACGATGCATTTTAAAAAAGATGAGCGAAACAGCGGAAGAACTATACTGCACATACAGTAATCTTTCACTCAGAGGAATCTACTTCACATTATCATCCGAATGCTTGCAGAATATATTTTTTTTTAATCTCATCTCGATGAAAACAGGTGTTCTTACGATAACTATGCTTCCCGAACGTGTTGAACCAACGAAGAATACTGGTGATCAATAAAAATACTGCAAATTGAATTTCAGACTGAATAAAAAAATTAAAAAAAAAAACTGAATATAGTTTCTTAATTCCTTCATTCATATCGTTGCGATGTCGATTCGAGAGGAAATGGGAGGAGAACTCACTCGTCAGTCCCTTCATCCACGGGAAATACGCTGACGAGGCATTCGCCATGCCAAGTTGATGATTGGCAGCAGCGACAGCAGCCGCCACTTCGTACCCAGCCTGCATGCCGCTAAATTCAGGATGCCCGAAATGATGCATCCCAGCTCCGCCATTCCCCACGAATTGACTCATCTTCCAATCATGCCCCGCGGACATCGGACCACCACCTCCTGCATTGCCGCCACCAACACCAACCCCGAGACCGACACCGACACCGCCGCCACTCGGCGACGACGTTGGCGAGCAGAGATTCGTTTGCCCGAAACCCCCGGGCTGGTAACCCGACTGCGCCCAATGCTGCTGATAAATTTGGGCGCCGGGGCCCGTCGTGGCGCCGTTGTAGTACCCTGCGGGGTCTGGGTAACGCTGTTGAAGCGGGGAGTGTGATGGAGAGGGTTTCTGGTTCGAGTCCGGGGAACTGTTGGACGAACACCGACTCCCGTTGACGGCTTGATTGTAGAGGAATGCTGGGTGCTGATTCTGGGCCGATGACCAGGATGACGAGTTCGGGTTGCCGTGTGACAACATTGTTTGTTGTTCACTTCCCGAAGGTGAAATCCGCTCGGAAATGACTCCTCGTTTTTTTTTTCCCCGCCTTGAACGGCCACTGATCTTTGCTTTCGCACTGGATTTTGAAAATTGACAGGGAGACCACTGTTGAGTTGACATAACAATTGATTTATGCAATAAATTCATGAGATGATTGAAGGAGTATACAGAAATATACAGTACATGAAACCGCGGGTTTCTGGAACGCACGACAGTGAAAAAAAAATTCCGAAAAGAATGCGTATCGCACCATCATACGGCCAAAATTGCCAAATTTTTCCAAGAAATCAGAAACGTGTTCCACATTCTCAAATCGAATCGAGAATGTGACACTTGACAAGCATCAAGACAAAACGTCACCGCAAGAAAGGAAAGAAGAGCTGGACAAAATATGCACCCATCCGAATTGCTTCACAGAATACGATCTCGAATTCCGCCCAAGAGCGAGATCTTTCGAAAAATAAGCAATATTTCATTGCAAACCATGACTAAATTTCAGAAGAGACAAGAAACTGCTGATGAGCAAATTAATTTATCTTGGCTCACTGCTGTGAAATAGTTCCGCATTTCGTCCCATTGATTTCATTCCGACGTAGACTGGAAATCTATCAGCGCGTGAATTGTTCTTGAAATTTTCTCTCAATAAATAAAATTTTCCAGCTATCATTCCAACAAAGAACATGAAAATCGCTTAATCGCTTCTCCTTTCAGAAAATTGAGTTCCACACCTTCTCACCATTGATCTTATTCGTGGATGCAGAATGAAATACAATACTGCGTGCTAAAGCTATGGTATGCAAATGAAACTGAAAGTAATGGAGAAATTCAAGAAAGCTCACCTCACCTTCAGTGAATGCAATGAATTCAAAACATCTCGATTCTTCTTCAAATCATAACACTGAAATTTCTGAACAACGTCACCTCGTACAAACTAGGACGCGCTGAATTCCATGTGAATTACGCAAGTCAACTCAAACTTAAAAAACCAGCTTCGATTTTACTTAGGGGGGGGGGGGAGACTTCGGAATTCAAAAATTTCAAAACCCATCGAAGCATACACGAATGCTGCTTCGGATAGCTTGGGAAATGCCAAGTCTTCATTTTTTTCCTTCCTTCTCAACACAAACCTAATAGAAATGGTGGGACACGGGGGGGTTCCTTTCTGCATGATGGAATCCTCGTATGAATGCCATCCGACATGTTTCTCATCCCAAGCCCGTGTGGAAAACAGAGAGAGAGAGAGAGAAAAAAAAGTTTTCGTCGGAAGCAAACACAAGCCATCATAACCTTCCACTGCGAGACGAGCGCGGATGTAAACATTCCTCGCCAGGCTCCTCCCAAAAACGCTGGAGAAAAGCAATCATGGCCCAATTTTCCCTCCCATCTTTTTGCCTGGAAATTTCTCAGGAGTACGAACATTTTCAGCGACAAGAGAGAGAAAAAAATAATCTAGTCATTTCCCCATGCTTCAAAATATAGGAAGAAGGGAAATCCTTGGTGTGAGGAAGGTTCAAAAAGTAACAGCCGCGATGATGAACATATCGCTTGCCAACAGAGGAGAACCTTCTGTGAATTTTCAGAAGTTCACAACCGAAACAGACGCATTTTGGCAACTATAATTAGCACGGTTTCCGTTCCTTACTTCGACGATGAGGGATATAATTTATTTCCAGCCCATTCCGAAGGAAAATTATAAAAATTATATTTACACGGAATCGGGAAATTTGACGATGCGTTAGGTAGTCAACAATTTGATTTTCCGGTTACAACGGTTTGATCAGCTCCCGCGTGTTTCTTTATTTTAAAATACAAAATATTTAATTTTTGCCGTCACAACAATTACGGAAAAATCGCACCTATTCATTTTCTTGATTCGATTACAGGAGTTCATGGAAAAAACTGATCGTCTCCTTCTCGAATCAAGACATTTCCTCCTTCCATCATGGCATTTTCTTTACACAAAATATCGATGCAAAAAAAATCTTAAATTTTGAATTCCTCCTAATTTTAACAAAAATGGATATAAAGGATTCAATGAAAACCCCGGACAAATGATGTCCCCAAAGAAAATCCAAATGTCACACCCGGGAATATGGTCAACCCACTCTGAGGTCATCTCGAAACTCCTTCACATTTTCACGGCAAAATTTCAATCGAAATCGCGTAGAAAATTTCCATGCACGTCTTGAAGAAAAATTCAAAGCACACGTCTTGAAGAATGATTTACACATACGTTATTCCCCAGGATCAGGCATATGTGGACTAAGGGGAAAGAGGGCGGAAAAATGGGAAGTTCATCGGCGTCGACAGCGACAGGAGCAGCAGGTTTTCCGCCGTGTTTGACATCTGCTGCCAGCATGCGTATACCATAAGGACATCCCCAGGGATTCCTGTTTTCTCTTCCCACCCCTCACAAATATATATACAATACACACATACATCGTACGCATACAGAAACATATATATGTACACCGCCCCCAATTAAAATCCACTCCCTAATCACACGGAGGGGCGAAAATAAGCGCCTTCTCTCCGCCCCGGACAGTGACAAGATCAGTAAAATTAGGAGCGTGAGGTGTAAATGACTTCTCAGGGAAGAAATCCTCGACCACAGGCGAAGTGACCACGAACGAACGAAAACTCGGTGTTCTCACGTATGATTTGATTCATTGTCAACCAAAACTTCCCTTCTGGCCATCGCCAAAAAAAAAAGAAGATTCAGGGAAATTAACACAACACGTCAACTGAATATTCGGGATTGATACTCAGTACTTGCTCAAGTCTGATACAAGCGGGTTTAATGCATCGAACCTTGCCGAATCTGACCGTAATGAGGCACATGATCGAAATTTACACCTGAAAATTGGTGAAATTGGTGAAATATCATCCTTAAAAACTTGAACTAACTCAAAACAATCATGGAATAGCTTGCTCAACTCGATTCAGGCAAGTTTATACTATCCCTTGGTCTTCGCTAATAAACTTCAAAATTGGCAATAATCGACTATAAATAAAGTGATCTTCAGATTTAGCGAGACTATAAAAAGATACGTTTTAAGGAATTACACTGTCGTTCGCAGTTTTTTTGTAGAATTCATTACCCTTAAAATTATGCTCGACTCCATTTTCGTGCGTAGATTATTGTGGATTGTAAAAACCCAGTTCGACGGAAACAGAAGTTATCGTCGGTGTCATCCCAAGGATAACACCATCCTTTCGAGAGGTTCTGCAGGCAATTTTCCAGCTCTTTTTCTCGCGAAAGCTTCGAAATAAATTTGCAAACTTCGATAATAACAAACTTCATGACTAAGCCTAAATTTGATCAATTCCAAAAATCACCAGATGCAAATGACGATTTTATCTCGAAGCAGAAACGAAGCGCTCAAACGCGGTCTGAACCTGGCATATGAGATAGAGAAGGTCGTGTGAGATGACATCATTCTCGATCGACACCAGAAGTGACAGGAATAAATCCGATTTTAAAACTCTGATCATTTCCGGATTGCAATCCGTGATTACAAAACTCCTAGTATGACTCCAGTCATCGCGAAACAAATAAAATAGGAACAGGAAGATGGCGAAA